GTTCTCCGCCAGCCTGCCACCATTCGTAACTCATAAGTTCTCGGGCTTCTTCAATCTTCAGACTTCAAGGAATCAAGTTCTTACTTTATTTTGATTATTTGATACTTTCACACTTTAACACTTAGTTTCTCTTTTAACTGTTAAGATTATTGTGAAATCTGAATTCTGAAATTTGAAGAAGCCTTGGAGTCGGAAATTTGGCATTCAGTGATTCAGATTTGATGTTTTATTATTGTTGTAGGATTTGAGTTTATTTGAAACTGTTGAATTGATTGTGCCATTGTGGGATTTTTAGTGGCTGTGCCTGTGGGATTTGTCATTTGAGTTTAATACTTTAATTGGATCATGATTCATGGATGGAATTGGATTAATTGATTAAACAATCGTGGTTGTTGAATTTATTGCAGCTCATTTATCATTGCTGGATCCTTTCTTTTTGGAGAATTTGAGAATTTTGAGAATTTTCAGACACATCAATCAGGTTCTATTGTTTTTTGTTTATACCTATGTCTAATAGAAAATTTGAATCTAGATATGCCAAAAGAAAAAGGAAGCAAAAGGTTGAAGTTGATTAAGCCTTATCTTCGATCAACCATGTCACATGAGCGATTGAATGGATTATCTATGATTTCTATTGAAAAAAATGTGTTGGAAAAACTTGATTTAAGTGGTTTGATTGCTGATTTTACATCTCAAAATGTGAGAAGGATAAATCTTATGCTAGCCTAATCTCTCGGATTGTAAGAGAAGTTTTAACTTGCTACTCTTTCTTTTGATTTATATAAAGTCTTCTTATTTAATATAAAAGTGTTATTTATTTAAATATTTAAATTTTGCTACACTTGTGAAAAAATGATTATGTTGAAGGGCCTCATCTCAATTAGTCGCCTAGGGCCTCTGAATTCTCAGGGCCGGCCCTGGTACATATTTTACTAGTACTTAATATGTGAAGCAACTAAAAAGATTTCATTCAGCTGTGTGCCTGCACTAGAGCATGGAATTAAATTATAAATAGGAGACATATCTTACATTATCTACATCTCTCTTATTTAGTGGTCCCACACTAATAATATCCATTTCTAATTTTCACAAAATTGCCTCTCCATTCATAATTTATCCATGCAACCAACGTTCTTGATATTTACCAGTGCTAGGATCTAACGGCTCGAATTTCACGTCCAATTCACACTTAAGGATCTGATCTTCTGCCAGGTCGTCTTCAGTCCTACCGCGTTTCGCCCCAATTGAAACCCCAAAGAGCCTTGGAGTCTTCTCTTCCTCGGCCTCCATTGCCGGAGCTGTGGCGGTAGATTTTGGTCCACCATTATCCTCCGCTCTGACCTGCATTTCTGGCATCAAATTCAACGCTCTTCCCTCCAGCAACGATACTCTACATGTATTCCCATAGGTTTCCACGTAATTCGACAACAAATTATATACATTGCTACACAAGCTCCTCAATTTGTTTAATTCTTGTCTCAACTGTGAATTCTCCTTTCTCAATCTCTCATTTTCCTCCAGAAGCTCCGGTTCAGTTGTGCAAGTCTGCAACGACAGTGGCGGAGTGACAGCAGCGACAGGAGAAGAGTTTGAGGAGAGAACCTGCTCGTCACCAGAGTTCGCCGGAGAGAGCGCTACAACTGCAGCAAGCGGAACAGCAGCAGTTACTGCCTGGGCATTGGCAACGATTGCTGTGGTTGCTGCTGTGGTGGCGCCAGTCGAGATTTTCCTGCGCTGAATGTCTCTTAACAGTCCTTTTTGGCCTCTTCTGAAACATTCATTTGCAAATTCCCATCTATCCGGTACTACTTTCCTAAATCCCTGCAAATTCACCATAAAAAACAGCAGAAAACAGAAGATTAGCACGAAAATTTACATTTTCCAGATAGATACAAGGGCCATAATTTACACTTCTGAGATAAGCATTTGTTTCTTCAATCCAAAAAAAAAAGGAGAAAAACAAAGAAACAAATGTATGAAAGTTCCATAATGTTAAAATGATAAATAATGGCTTGATGATTAAGCAGTGAGAATTCTAAAATTTCCGGATTATCTGCCCAGCAGGAATGGAAGGACAAACAAATTTTATAAGGATTCAAGAGAAGGTTATCACAATTACTACTAATTCAGACATGTCATAGGTATGGGAGAATTTAGACTACAAAATCAAACTATTGCACTATTTCTTTCATATGTGAACATTGTCTATACATCTTGGGGTTAATGTAGGATCCAAGACCTACTGTTCAGGGTAAATATCAAGTGCGAATGGAATTATTATTAATTTTCGGTTTCAAGAGACGTACATAAGTGTTGAGTTGACGAACAAAGCTGGAGAAATTGTTGTGTTTGAAGCATTTGGGAAGAAAATCTCTGGCGAATTCAGCTGGCCGCCATACTATGAACGTCGTTCCATCTTCATTCCACGAGATCAACTCATCGCTGCACGGATCGTCCACCAATTGATACGTTTTCGTCAAAAATGGCGTTGGAACAGACCTTTGCGAGTCTCCGCCGCTACCGGTGCCCACCGTCGAGTCACTGCTCTGCTTCACCGGCAACGGTGACATATCACGTTTACAGCTCTGAACAGCCGATCCTAAAAATCCACAAAAAAAATCAGAACGTACATAATTACAATTATTATTATTTTACAGAAGTTCACTATCTTAACTATATTTAAGCTGTTGCCAAAAATAAAAATAAAATTATATTTAACCTGATTCCTAATTAGATCGACTTCTTTTCAAAAAATTCCAAAAATATTTAACTGAAAAATTCAGCTTTACATTGCTGCTTCGAGTTAATTATTAGGAACAGAAAAGCATAATTTAAAGTTAGGAACATTTACAAAAATAATCATTCAAAAAAATAAATTTGGAAAAGCAAAAACAAAAACTTGCGTGGTATTTAAATTATGTTGCTTCGTGGTGAATTATATTTAATTCAAATAATATCAAAGATTAATGTTGTAACATTTTCTGTGTCTAGTTTTAAACGTACTGAACTCTGATTGTTATTGATGATTTTTTTTAACCATTTCCTGGATGTTCTAAAAATTCCAAAAATTCAGCATTATATGATTGCTTCGAATTAATTATAAAGAACGAAATAAAAAAAAGGAACATAATTAAGAACATTCACGAAAATAATCATTGAAAAAAAATATATAGCAATTTTGGTATTCAAATCTATGTTCTTCGTTCTGAATTATATCTAATTTGAAAAGGGAACTTTCTAAGAAAAACACATAATTAACAAGCAGAAAAACCAAACAGGAAATAACTATAAAATTAAACACAAAGCTCAGAAAAATACCTAAATAGAAGAGAGCAAATAATTGTATAGTCTTCAAGATTCCCCAGAGAGAGCTGAAAAAACACGAAGAAGCACACGCAATGAAAGGTGTGAGAATGGTAGGTAAGAATGGTTTCTTTCTAGAAGGTTCGTTACGCCGCTGAGGTGAAAAATGAATTAATGATTGAGACGGAGCCATTTTTCGCGGGTTCCAGAAGGCAAAAGTGGGTCGGGTGGGATCCATTTAGTTTTGGGAATGAACTTTTAAGAAGGCTCGAGAAGGTGCGTTTTCCACAATGTTCTTTTTGTAAAAAGTGAAAAAGTAATATTTAATTACTTCTGATTTAGATATTTTGTGTCGAGGCACAGGTTAGGATTGAAAAATGAGTGGCATTAAGGGGCTGTTTGTTTCTGCTAAAAAGCAGAAATCCAATCGTTGGAATGGTAGAATTCTTACTGTTGGAAAAATTCAAGCCGCAATGTTTGACCCTTTGTGTGATGTGTGGGACCCGCCTGCAACAACTAACGGTCAAAAAATCACAATTGTGGATGTGGAAAATCAGTAGCAAACAACACCTAAGTCTTTCTTTTGTCCTATTTTTTTAAAAGCTCATTTTTTTAAAAACTTAATTTTAATTAAATATTTTTTTCATAAAATAATTTTATACGCACATCAAAAGCTTTTATTTATTTTTTAGCCACACATTCTTAAAAAGAAACATTATTTTAATACACATTTTCATACAAAAATGAGGCTTAAACAAGGGCTAAGATTAGTCTAGAGAGTTATAATATGCATTTATGGATCTGTGTAAAAATTGAATTAATTCTTTTTTCTATAGTTTATAAATAATTTATAAATATTTTTCAAACATGTTATATAATTTAGAAAGAAAAAAAAGATAAAATATAGAATTCAATAAATTTGTTTGCATTTGATTGAGAATCAAAATTTTGTATTTATAGATTACAATTCTAGCTATAGGGATACAATGATTATTCATAAATATTACTTTATTTACAACACTCTAGAAAACGCCTGTCTCATTAAAAACATTGTTTATATAAAATTCAATGAAACAAGAATACCAAACAAATGAAAAAAATAATACAAATAATTTGAAGTAATAAAATACTGCATCTTAAAATCTCGTCAAAAAAAATCAGTGGAACAAAACTCGATCGAATAAAAAAGAGTATAGCTAGATATATTTTAAAAATCGGACAGATTATTGACCTGGAAAAGGAAGAAGGTTTAAAGGTCAAAGAATCGAATCAAGATTAAATTAGCGTCAACCAAAAATTAAATTAATTAAATAAATAAGATTTTAGATATATTCATATATACACTATTTAAAAAATAAATTACTATATTGATATGTACTTCTAAAAAAAGAAATACTATTCAAAACAATGTGCCCATGTTTGATAACTATTATTTGAACTATTTTCTCTGTATACTTATTTTCAATCATACATTCACACAATAAAATATTCTAAATGTAAATTCAAAAATTTCCATAATTTTTAACTACATATTCTTTTTACTAAAAAAAAAAAACCCCAAAATCATAGTTTTCAAGTTAACAATTCAAAAATAAGGTTGTAATTATCTATTTTAAAATTAATAAAAATAAATTTATTATATTAACTAAATATTCAAGAGATTTACTTTGGACCGTCGACGTATCCCACTCTGTGTAATAACCCTGTCATTCAACACACGTCCCCCACTCTCTCTGAAAATCGGCTCTCATTCACACACACCCTCTGCAACACAAAACCACCACATATCTCTCTCTACAACAACATTCGCGTTTCTGTCTTTCTCTACCATTTTCAACCGCACAAGAACTCCAAATCCCCGGCATTATCATCGAAGATCCATGTGAAATAGCCATATTACATTTTAGTTTCTACCGTTGTAGAATTTAAAATGGTTAGAACTCATAGTGTTGATGTGAATATAAAGGAAAAGGATAAAGGGAAGATGAAAAAAGATGTTGGAGGTTTTTCTTCAGCAAATGAGTCAAAATGTCGGCTTTGGCGAGAAATNACTTAGTTTCGCCTTGGCTTTAGGAATTTATTAGTTTTTCAGAAGTCTAAAAAATGAAATGGCTCAAGACGAAATTATGAAGCAAGTAAGAAGTAATCTGATTTTGTGTCCTGATTTGGGTATTTTGTGACCGAAATATGATTTTGAAAACTATTTTGAGTATTTTGTAATTTGAAGGGTTTGTGACTTATTTGGTGTACTATTTGATCGATTACTATTTATGTGATCTGAAATATTTTATAAAGTGTGCTGCATTGAATTAGAATATCTACACCATCATGTTTTAAAATATTATTGTTTTGCTAATTTTTTCGGAATGTAAATGGCAGTTGATTCTGTCTTATGACATGGTAATATGCTTCAGAGTGGATAAAAATATTAAAGCACATGACACAAATATGGAACTGATATCTGCACTAATACGTGTTGTGACTATCTACTGTTATTTGTTATGTTTTGGAAAATTTGTAACCAAATGTTTATTTGGTGAAAGTCACAGTAACATGTCTGACATTACGATTGTGCAGGACTAGCATTATTTAATAAAATCAAGGAATTGGTTCCCTGGGAAGATCACTATAACATCCATACAGAGTGTCATGACACACTTTGTGATGAAATTCACTGGTGCTCAGAGGGACATTCTAGAAAACACATATGTTTCTTATTACATGCATTGTAAGGAGATAGAAGTGCAACAACAATTGATTAACTATATTTTACTACGGGAGGTGAAGCAACCTAACAAGTAAGAGATGTGGTTCAACATAAATGAGAGATATATTCGATTCTCCATTGCTAAATTCTGTTTTGTCACTAGATTGCAGTATGATGGGGTTGATGGTCGACCAATGTTGGATGAAAAATCGTCTGCAGTGAAGGATACGTATTTCAGGGACTTAAAAGTTGTCACAAGTGAAGATGTCAAAAGTCTTTCTTTCACTGGATGATGCACCAGACTTTGACGTGGTTAAGATTGAGATTATTTATCTAATCACCCCGTATATATTTGCTACACCCTACCCGAAGGTCATGGATCAATACATTTTTGCACTTGCAGACGATTTTGCCACTCTTGAAATGTTCCCTTGGGGCAGATATTTGTTTGAGACCACATCATCGTCATTAAGGAATGGATTATCAAAACAAACGAGTCACTACAAATTGACGGGTTTTTTAGTGGCTTTCCAGGTGTGGCTGTATGAGTGCATACTTGTACTTGAGGGGAACGTGGCTACAAAAATTTGTAAGAAACATCCACGAATTATGAATTGGACTACGCACAAACATCCTTCTGTGGCAATGTTGAAGGACAGAGTGTTTGAAAGTGAGAATGTAAGTTCGTAAATACGTTTGAATTGTTATGTAATCATTTAATTAGTTATACATATTTAAAATGACATATACTCAACTTTTTTCCATCTTATGTCAAACAGGTTGTGATCAATGACATTGATCCATCTGAAGTAGAGCTCACGATGCCATAAATGACAGTTTCTAAATATAAATTTCAGATATATTTTGACATGTGACCTAAAATAAGTTACTTGTGACTTTCCCTCATATATATTGTGACCTGATTTGTATCATTGAGCTAACTAATTTCTTTGTTTTGTATATTTNTATTGTGACTTGATTTGTATCATTGTGCTAACTGATTTCATTATTCTGTATGTTGGATATAATCGACAGATGTGTAGTATTCGAAGCCTAGACAACCAAATCAGAACATTAGAATCTCTAAAACTCCAGTGGGCAAAAGTGAGTTTACTCCCCCACTGTCAAAGGTACATGTTCAAGATTCAGACGATATTTTTGTCGATCTACCACCGTAAAAACAGACGGGGGCTGCTAGCTCTAGCTCTCATGCTCAGCCTCATCCTGTCTATCATCCTGATTGTTCATGTGTCAAAGTAAGTAATTTCATTTTTTACAGACTTAAGAAGCCATTTTATATACAATTCTACTAACTTCAAATTTTTTCAGGAATGTGCTCGATTGAAGCAGTTGATGGATGAGGAAATAACCTACCTCAAATGGATAACAAAGGGCTGAAAGAAGAGCTTTTGTCGATGAAGTCAGAACTGTCTAACATGAATGATAAAATACGTCATTCAAACAATTTTTTTGAAGCTCAATGAGGTCATTCGGAGTCAGAATGTGTTGAAAGATGGTTTGAACGACATCAGGTCGTCTCTTAAATCTTTTGTTGAATCTGTGTCTGACATTTTATCTTCAGTGATAGATGAAGTTCAGACGAATTTGAGTGGTAAAGATGGTTCGATAGAACAAGAGCCAAAAGTTGATGACGTGGTTGACAGAAAGGGTAAGGGTTACATGGAACCTGAGCCAAAATGTGATAATGTGGCTGAAAAAAAGGACAAAGGTCACATGACATCTGAGTCTTCACATTGCTTCCATGATGACTACGTTCTCCAATCTCTTTCATTTGATCTAGGTGTTGGCTACTTACAGAGTCCTAAAACCTCTGATGATACATTCTTTGCTAGTAAAGAAGTGCAGGAGCATGTTGATGAGGCTATTGCTCGCATGTTGGAGTCTACTCAATGTCATACCGAAGATGTCAGTTTAACGAAACATTTAGTATTTCATATTATAAATTTAAACCGATTATCATACACTAATTCAAGAACCTTTCTTTTTATATTTTTGAATCAGGAAGATACGTCTGCACCTCCATCATCTAGACTACCTGTGAAGAGAGCACAAAAGCTATCAAAAACTCTACAGTCACCTTTTGTTAAGGTTGATCCACATCATGCCGCTACTGGATCAAAATCTGCATCTGGAAACGTTGTGTTCCAAATTTATTCGAAGGCATTTGATAGTGCAGACCTGAGTTCATTCCAGAATTGGTTTGATAGATGATAAGAGCCCAAGAACAGGTACATGAAATGTAGATTATAAGTGTTTTTGTGTCAAGTGTGACCTGTCATTATTTGTTTGATGAGTGCATACATGTGTTTACATGGTAAAGTTCAGTGATGTAGATAATGTGATAAGGCCTCAATCTGTGTGTGGCAATGTTCCTGCTCACCATAAAACTTGGTGGCATACGTTGATCGATTCTAATTCATCATTGAGCAGCACAGTATATATGAAGCCACAATTATTTTCACATA